TACGCCCGCAAACTCCGCAGTTACGGACAAACTGCTTAACCGTAGTCGGTAAGTTTGGCCAGAAGAACTCTCTCGAAACTACTGCAATTGTTCCATTCTTGCCAGGATGGCCCGTAAGTGTAGAATCATGGAGTTCCTGTATGATTGCTGTCCGTAACGGCTCATAGTTAGGGACCCATAGTCTACCCCTAAACCGTAAATCACTGTTCTCGTCTACTGAGCAGTCGGAGACCGAGACTTTGACTGGGGAAGCAAGGTCTGTTGGGAACACCCTATCTCCTTGGCAGACAGTGTCCGTTAGACGCCTAAAGTCCTTATCCTGTACTTTTCCTTCTTCCCAGAGGTTCCGTAGTCGGTTTGTAAATGTCTGGTTTATTGGTACATTGCTTGCTTAATTTCCCTTCCTGCTGACACTGGTGCTAGCCGTATAGTATTCCCATGAATCATTCCGTCCGGAATCGGTTGTGCCATTCTGTAATTGAGCCGCTCATCCCCTTCTTCTGGTAGGTCTTGGTCTCTTCTCGTTAGAGCGTCTGGGAGGCCTCCCTCCTTGCCTGGGCGGTATTGGATTACTGGGATGAACTTGCTAAGTATCAACTGCCACCGCATTTGTCTTTCAGACAGCTTACGGACTGTTGTAAAGTACTCAAGATTCTTATGATCCGTAAGTACCGTAAACTGCCCTACACTCTTTAACTCAGCTTCCCATACCTCAAGGCAACGAATAATAGCTAACAACTCCTTGTCATAGATTGGGTAATTGCATTCGGCAGGTGCGCCAGCTGCGGAAAAGGCAATTCCAAGAGCATATACTGGAACCTTCTCAAAGCCATGGTGGACGCCAGAGTTGAAAGAGTTAAGGAAGAAAATGACAGCCAGGCAACGCCAAATTACACTACACGAACAAACGTCAAAGACGGAATACGTGCGAGCTCGAAACACCTATTTCGAAGTACTCAAAAGAACTAAAACAGCACACTGGAACCATTTCCTAGAAAGAGAAGACCCGAAAGCAATCTTCCAGGCCATGAAATACACCAAAGACGGGAAAACACAGAGAATGCCACACATCAAAGATCAGCAACAGAACCTCCAAACCACATTCGAAGGCAAATGTAAAGCGTTTAGAGAAACTTTATTCCCCCCACCACCCACGGCTACTAGCGCAACATGGACCAACTACACGCCAAGCAAAAAGTGGGAATGGCCTGAACTCACAAGAACTGAATTAGAGTACGCATGCTCTTCAAAGATCCTATCAAAATCGCCAGGGCCAGATGGAATCACACAAGACATCATTACTAAAGCCTACGAAGCTATCCCTGAAATCTTCTTCTGTGTCTACGCTAGGATGATTAACACAGGGTACCACCCCAAGTGCTGGAAAGAAGCAACTGGAGCAATTCTACCAAAAGCCAACAAAGACGACTACTCCCACCCTAAATCCTACCGAATCATCACTCTCCTGAATTGCCTAGGCAAAGTCGCTGAGAGAATTATAGCACAACGCCTCAGCCACCTCGCAGAGACCACAGACCTCCTCCACTCCTCACAAATGGGGGGAAGACTCAAAAAGTCTGCCATCGACGCTGCTCTTCTACTCACAAACGAAGTTGAGAATCACAAGAAGTACGGATGGAAAGCCTCCACCCTGTTTATCGATGTCAAGGGAGCCTACGATCACGTAGCCAAGCAACGACTCTACAGGATTCTCCAAGAACTACAACTCCCCACCAACCTAATAGCATGGGTATCAACATTCCTCAACCAACGTAGGCTACGACTCGCTTTTGACGGTCAAATCCAGGAGTTCTCACCTAACAACTCTGGGGTACCACAAGGCAGCCCTGTATCTCCAATCCTGTTTCTCATCTACATTCGCGACCTTTTCAAGTCTACTACAATTACATGGATCTCCTACGTCGACGATATTTCCCTTACAACAGCCTCCCGCCACCTCAAAAACAACATTAAAAGACTAAAAGCAGAAGCCACGAAACTCTACAGGCTAGCAAATGAGAACAGCATTACCTTCGACCTCGATAAAACAGAACTCATACACTGGACCAATTCAAAGGACACAGAAGAATTCACACTCAACCTCCCCAACCACCAAACCGTTCACCCAAAACAATGCATTAAGTGGTTAGGCATCTACTTTGACCCAGCACTATCTTTTAAGCACCACGTCGCTACCAAGGTAGCAAAAGCTAGAGGCGCATTTTTCAGGATGTCAATGCTAGCAAACAACTCCAAAGGACTCACACCCTTTGCCCTCCGGCAGCTGTACACAGCATGCGTTACAAGTATCGCAGACTATGGGTCAACCATCTGGTGGCGAGGCCAAGCACAATTCACTACTCTACTTCAAAAACTCCAAAACCTTGCAATTAGAAAGATATTAGGGGTTTTCAAAACCACTCCTATCCTCCCAATGGAAGTAGAAAGCGCCCTCCCACCTCCTGAAGTTTGCCTCTCCTCCTCCTTGAGGATGTATGCTTTCCGTCTACTCAAACTCTCACCATCACACCCAGTCAACCACGCTATCGACAAGCTCCTCAATACTCAAGCAACTCCAAGGAAAAAGAAGCCGGCAACTCCTCAACTACAGCGAATCCACCGCTCTATTAGCAACTTATACAACCTTGAAGACCTTGAGCAAATACACCACTTCCACTTCCCTCCATGGGAAAGAGAAACTCCCTACAAGGTTCACATTAGCAAACTTTCAAAAGAAGAGGAAACTAAATTTCACCTTCGTCTACTCCAAAACAACTCAGATAACAGCATTTTCATCTACACAGATGCATCCTCTACAACAACAGAAAATAGCCAAGGAATTGGGGTAGGTTTGTCTGTAATCTCACCTCAATCAAACAGAATCCACTACGAAAAGAATGTCAACATTGGACCAAACAAGCTCGTCTACAACGGTGAAGTTGAAGGGGCCACGCTAGCAGTTGAATACGCTGCCAAGCACGCTAGACCAGGGATCCATTTCCACATCTACTCCGACAACCAGGCAGGTTTACGGAGGCTAAAAACCACATCAGATAACCCAGGGCAAGAGTGCCAAATCAGAGCTATCACAGCTGCCCAGAAGGCAGTTAGCAAGGGAGCTACTACCACAATTCACTGGGTACCAGGTCACACCGACATTCCAGGAAATGAGAAAGCAGACAAGCTTGCAAAAGCCGCCACCACAATCCAACCATCCACTCAACTCACTAGCTTTGCTATGCTAGGAGTCAAGATCAGGCAGACCCAGAACAAAGAATGGCGTCAAAAGCTTACTACACCCCCCCGGCACACAGAACCATCAACTAACCAACACTCGTATCGAAGGGAATTCCCATGGAAGATTCTGTCGAAACCTTGCGACCCCCAAGGAACAAAAGAGAGATAGCCAGCGCCTTTTATCAGCTTAAGCTAGGCCATGGATACTTCAAATCATACCTACACAAGCTCGGCCACACTACCAACAACCGCTGTAGATGTGGAAGACAAGAGACTCCCACTCACCTCCTTCTTAGCTGTCCAGAAACTGGGGATGCTAGGAAAGTACTAAAGCGCAACCTCCTCAAGCATCATATTCGAGAGTTCACCATGAAATCCCTCCTTCACACCGCCAAAGGAGTCGAGGCCACACTTGACTTTATTCGAACCACCAAAATCGCCACTAGAATATGGCACACACAACGCGCAACTGAGGATGAGAACGAAGATGAGGACGAGGAAGACGAGGACGAGGAAGACGAGAACGAGGAAGTGTAGCGTACAGGGCGTGAAACGAGGGGGCGTACTACAACATAACAACTTTTCTTTTGTCATAACCAGAAGCCTAGCTGCTTCCAACAACCCAAGAACTGTAATGACCATAACCCCCTTCTCAAACATGTATTTAGTACAGCTTTACTCATCTGTTGGAGGGAAACCCCCAGCCGTGCTACTATAGTCTCAGACTCACACAGCACGTTAAAAGGAATAATAATAATAATAATAAGTGCTCGGAGCATTTGCAAGTCCAAAGGGTGTAACAAGCCATTCAAAAAGCCCAAAGCGCGTCCGGAAAGCCGTTTTCCACTCGTCTCCTTCCTTGATCCGTATCTTGTGAAATGCAGCAATAACATCCATTTTCGTAAACCATTTTGCTCTCCCGATCCGGTTTAGTGTTTCCTGGATTAATGGTAGAGGGTAGCGGTCCTTACGGGTTAACTTGTTTAAAGCCCGATAGTCGCAGCAGAACCGTAAACCTCCTCCTGGCTTTCGTACAAAGAGTACAGGTGCAGCTGCTGGAGAGTTGCTTACTCGAACGAATTCCTTGTCCAGTAGCTCTGTTAGGGTTTTACGGAGCACTAACAGCTCATCCCGTGACATGTTGTAGAGTGGCCCCCAGGGAACTGTCTCCTCTGATCCGCTGTCCGTCCGTAAAAGCTCAATACTATGATCAATTCCCTGTCGGTGTACCGGTAGCTTGTTTGCTTCTTGTCTGTCGAAAGCTGGGTCAAACTTTGAACTTATCCTGCCAGGTAGCTTTGTTCGCGGGTTAGTATGTTTCTTTTCCGCTAATGCTTTTGTAATATCCGCAAGGCTTGCTGTAAAAACCTGTAGCTTGCGTTTCCGGTCCGTAAGAAAGCGAAAGACAGCCGCACTCACTTGTTTGTGAGAGTAAGTGTTCTCTTCTGGCTCGCTATAAACTTCTAATCCAGAGTCTTGGAAGAGTAAACATCCTTTTTCGGCGTTGAGTAAGGCTCGTTCTTTCCTCAACCACGACTTTCCTAAAATCATTTCATAGCCCTCAATCTTAGGGACTACATAAGCGTAGATCCGTTTCTGCTGGTGCCCTCCAATGTCCATGCTAAAAGATACAACCCGTGACACCGCATCTTCTGAGACTCCTTCTACTGACTGTAAATGCCTTGGTTCGATTTGCACGCAAGAGAGTTGATGACGACGGACAAAACGGTCTGAAACAATTCCATAGACTAAACAACCTGAGTCTACTAGGGCTTGTGAAGTAGCTACTCCATTCACCAAAGCCGATACAAGAAGGGGTTTTTCATCCATGTATTCCTGCTCAAACTGTCTCCAAGTGTCCATTGCTAACAACTCTCTTCGCCGCTCCTGTCTGCGCTTTCTGACAGGAGCCGCTAGTTTTCCGAGACCGAGGAAAGCTCATCTTCTTCTTCTAATTCCGGAGCTACTTCCTTGAACTCTGCCTTCTGTTTACGGGCCGTATTTGCTGCTACAGGCCGTCTTGGTGGTCCGTAAGGGCATTCTTGAGCAAAGTGACCTGTAGCTCCGCAGCGGACACAACGGCCAGTACGAAAGCGATTGCCTCGTTCTTCCTGGGACACCCATTTGGCACGCTTAGTACTCGCTGTCAAGACTTTTGCAGGTGCTGGTTCCCAATCCATGTACTCCACAGACGCTCTACGGGTGACTTTCGGTCCGTTACTGACTTCGTTGTTCGTTCCCGCTTGTCCAGTACCCGCATGTTGTTTCCAGTAGGTCTGTGGAGTTCCTGAGTTTGCGTGATTCTTGGCCCGGGGTGTTCGAGCTTTATAAGCTCTTAAGCGGTCGTCTGTTTCCTTGATAATAGAGCAGTAAGACTCAAAGTCAGGTTGGGAAGGGACAGTAATCATCATCTTAACCAGCTCGTCGCTTAGAATTCGGTCGAGAGACACCTTTTTTGCATCGTCCGGCCATGATCCCCCTCCAGATTCCATCAGCAAGGCCTGCCATTCTATAAAGGCCTCTAAAAATGGCCTTGTGCCCTGGCGGAGGCCTTCCATCTTCCGTTGCGCTCGTTCCTTCGCCTGCGGGTCCCTGAACACGAACTCCACACGGTCTAGAAAGTGGTTGCCGTTGGCAAGTTCTGGCTTGGCTTGTTCTCGTACCCATGCTTCCATCCTGCGGAGCGCTTTGCCCCGTAACGATCCGTTAAGTGCCCAGAATTTAACATATTCCGTGCATCCGTAGAAGTCGACCTCTATCTTCGCCCGTGCCTGTTGCAACCAAGCTTCAAGCTTGTCTGAGTCCCCGTAGTATTCCAGTAGCGGCGGAAGAGATTTCCCAGGTTTATTATCGTTGCGCACCATCCGTGAACGAGCTTCCTCAGCCTTTTTCTGCTCGTTCGTAATCCGTAGACGTTCTTTCTCTTGAACATTTTTTAATTGGTTTTGTTGATCCTGAATATACTGTACGAACCAAGGGGGTAGCTCTTTTGGCATACTGCCTTCCTGTGGCTCTCCCATCGTCCGTTATAGCCAGGTTTTTCTGTATACCAAAAAGAAATCGGGACCCAAAATTTAAGGATATAAACGAGGTTATCCTTATATCCAGTATCCTTATAGCCAGGTTTTTCTGTATACAGAAATCAAGTTTTGGGCTGCAATTCTTCTCGACCAACAATAAGGCTCGGTTCGATGATCCCATTCGATTGATAAAGAAGAAGATTTGAATGGCTCACACGAATGCGGATTTTCATATGATGGTCCACATAACTTCAAGGTTTGACCAGTTATGCATAACCTTGGGCAATTATTCCGAGAGGCCGGCGGAGAAGTGACAAACTGAACAAGCTTAGTATCCACTCTTGAACCACTTCAACTCTTCCTACAAGAGCACAGAAACAAATAAATAAAAGCCACTCTCTCTCATCATCACTGCTCTGTACAACAATCGCAGAGAACATCATCATGATTCACCTTTCGGACCTTTCAGTCCTGCAACTTTCCGGATTTGGAGCAGGAGCGGTAAATAACCGAGAGAAATCCAGGATATGTCTGATGCCGTGCTAATTCTTCTTAGTATTTCCTATATTTGTTTTGCAGAGCCATCTACAGGATCTACTTCCATCCACTCGCCAAATATCCTGGACCAAGAACAGCCAACTTTTCGGAGTTTTGGCATGCCAAGCATTGGTTGGGTGGCAGATGGGCTCATGATATCCAAGATGCCCATAGAAAATATGGTTTGTTTGAAGCATTCTACTAAGTTTTCGGCAACTCACACAATATAGGGAAATTTGTCCGCATCGCTCCTAATGAGCTCAGTGTGCTTTCGGCCGTCGGCGCTAAAGAGATCTATGGTCACGTAAACAAAGATAAGAAGCCGTTTTTGAAGTCTGCATTCTATGATGGTACAGGAGCTCCCAACCTTGTCACCGAGCGAGATCCCGTTAGACACGCAAGTACTCGCAGAGCACTGGCAGCAGCGTTTAGCGTCAAATCCCTTCGAGACCAGACCGGTATTGTTGTTAAATATGTCGACCAGTTTGTCGAACAGTTGGAAAGACTTGGAAATACTCCTGAAGGCGTACCGATGGAAGAATGGTACAACTGGTTGACATTTGACATCATCGGTGATCTTACATTTGGGGAGCCATTCGGCGCTATCGAAGCTGGTATATTGTATTCCTTTTTGATTGCTAAAATACTGGAGGCTAACCGTTAAAGCTAAAACACCTCCATGGATCCGTTCGCTCCAGGGACTCATATATATGACAGCTTACATGGACACCATGGTTCGCTTTCCATTAGTACAAAAAGTGCTTCCCTTGTTTACTTCGAGACTTAGAGAAGTCAAGCAACTGTCGGTTGATCACTTCGAAAGCACGCATGCAAAGGTTCAACGGCGTCTACAACAAGAGAACAACCGAGACGATTTCTTCTCCCATTTCCTCCGTGCCAAACATCGCAATATCGCGACCGAGTTCCTCGATCAGCAGTCGGTCATTCTTATCACAGCCGGCTCTGACACAACCTCGACAACTCTAGCATCTCTCACCTACTATCTGTGCAAAAACCCTCATATCCTTGCACGTCTGCAGGCTGATGTTCGCGCGGCTTTCGAAACCAGCGCCGAAATCGACGGCGTCAACACCACTAAAATTCCTTACCTGGTTGCAGTCATCGAAGAAGCGCTCAGGATTTGGACTTCTGTCCCCGGTGGACTTCCACGCGAATCACCGGGAGCAATGGTTGACGGAGAATTTGTACGTAGCACAGGACTTTGCAGAAAGATAGGAATACGCCTACTGACAATGACAGATCCCTAAGGGTACCATCATACACGCGCCCCCTTTTGCCCTCCTACGTTCAGAGCACTACTGGCATAAAGGAGATTCGTACTGCCCTCAACGCTGGCTCCCGAAGGATGACCCTGAGTATGATGTTGCCTTTGACAATGACAACCATGACGCATTCAAGCCATTCAGTCAGGGATCTAGAGCTTGTATTGGCATCAACCTGGCCTATATGGAGGTTAGAATCACCCTAGCAAAACGTACGTATCTTATACTTCAACTTTCAGATCATTTTGGCATATCACACACTAACATTTTGCGCCTTCTAGTTGTTTGGCATTTTGACTGGGAACTAATTCGTAAAGATCTTGATTGGGAAAAGGAATGTCGTGTCCAAATCGTATGGCAGAAGCCTGAATTTAGAGTTAGAATGGTACCAAGAGCAAGTTAATTTGGGACGTTTAACGTTGTTGACACGGATTAAAAGATTTACACCACCATAATGTACAAACTTTCCTTCTTGAACCTTGCCGTATTGAGTGAACTCTTGTGACACTCTAAAAAAAAGTACTATTGCACGCCTTCTAGTGTAACGATCCCGTTTACGGAATGATGACTAACCCTCTTTGATTGTTGGTAGTCCTTCTACACAACGATCTGCATTTAGAGTCCCTTCTCTTCTAGATTCCCGCTCTGGAATATCCTATTCTGTATAAAATGAGGCCTGAATCCTTTTGCATGCGCTGCTGAACTTTCATCATGGTCCGCTTGACCTTAGGATAGTAACAATAATTGATATTGTTCCAAATGCTGCGGAAAACACTTTAATCTACTAAGTGAATACTTGCTCAACTATTTATTGAATTAAGCTCTCTCTCTCTCTCTCGATCTCGAATAAAGGCATAGAGGCAGGGGTTTTTAAGACTTTCGTAGTGTATTCTGGTAGTGTATCATTTGACCAGAAAAAATACAACATACCCTAATGGCGAGCTTTACGCCTAGCGGCGTATGAACAACAATAATAATTAAGCTTCCACTTTAGCCGAAAATCAAAGTAAACAACCGCCCTTTATTTTCATTACAAACTTATTCATCAAAAACTCACGTAATAAACTTGACTTCCTGAACATAGATTTTGGAGCTGAACTTGATACAAGCAATTCCCCTGCAATTCCTGTGTAACACCGGCTATCATACATGTGGGACTTGCGTCGTACTCGTATAACATATATAAGTGTGGGGTACTGTAAGCACCCCGCCCGTACACTTATCAAAATCACTCAAACCCAACATTCTCTCAACCCCAAAACCACCTCACAAAATGGGATCTAATCAAGAAACAGAATTTCCCGTGATAGATTTCACACAATACCCCAGTAATCCCTCCGAAATATCATCTCAGCTCTTCGATGCATTCCACCAGTGGGGATTCCTAGTCTTGAAAGGCCATGGAATACCAAAAGGCGATGTGGAAGAGATATTTTCCTTGGTATATCATTTCCATCACAATCGCGTAATAGATTCTGATTTTCTCCATGTACAGTCGAAAGAATTCTTCGCTCAGCCCTTGGAAGCCAAACAAGAGAAACCATTAAACCTCCACGGTCAAGGATACGACTTAAAAGAATCCATGTCCGCCACCCCCCCTCGTATCTCCTCAACCCATCCTAACACAAGTCCCAGAATCGGCGTCCACGAAGCCCTCTGCTTCGGTAACATAACCCTCTCCCCAGACTCAAATTTCGCCCCCTTCTGGACCCCCCAAAAGCGCCAAACAATCGAGTCCTTCCGCTCAAAATGCCAGTCCCTCTCCGCTCTCCTCTTCACCGCCCTCGCAACCCAAATGCGCATCTCCCCATCCTTCTTCACCACTCCCCACAATCCCCATAAACCCCCCGGTAACGCTTTACGATTAATCCACTACCACCCGCTCTCCAACCCGCCAAGGAAACCTGATGTTACACCCAGACTATGTGAACACACCGACTGGGGAACCATGACGTTCCTCTTCGCCACCGAGCCCGGACTCGAAGTCCAAACTCCCGATGGGAAGAGTTGGGTCACGGCTCCGGTGGTGGATGATGCGATTGTCGTGAATATCGCGGATGGGTTGTGTTTGAGTACGGGGAAGACTTTGAAGAGTACCGTTCATCGGGTCACATGGGATGTGGTGCCGTGGGATAAGGAGAGGTTTAGTGTGGCGTTTTTTGTGAATGCTAATGCTGGTATGTTCCTACCTCTAATCATTCCCCCTTAATCTTAACAAACTTCAGACGCCCCGATTCGGGTTCTCGAGCAGTCTGATGCGGGGAAGTTTGTAGAGAAAGAAGGCGCTGTGAAGGCGACATATGGAGATTATCAGAATGTAAGGATCAAGATGATTGAGAAGCATGATAACCATATTTCGGACGAGGAAGTGGCGATTGATCCGGTGTTGTGGGAGATGGTCAAGGGGTTGGGAGCAGGTGTGGGGGAAGACTTGGAGAAGAATGATGAGGAGGTAAGGATTTGAATTGTTTTGTTCAAGTTTGAGAAGGAAGTTAGAGAAGTGCTTTGTTTGTTACTTTGTATTTTATTAGCTAATGTAAAGTATATATTAATTGAACTATTACGTATAAACAGACTCGTTTACTAAAATGATCATTCTAAGCATCTCAACCTCTTCTTGTGTCTCTCACGACTAGCGGCAGCCATAATAGCAACCATAACAACAACTTCAGCACCCAGTGAAATCAACATACTATCAATAACAGACGCATATATATGTGCCTAGAAACATAGTATCAAGATGGGACTAAAATCAAAACCCTATACCCCACCCACCTTTGGCCGTTAAGCGAACATAAGATAATATATCATAGACGACAGCTAGTATTCATGATCCACAGTAAACAAACACAACTATCAAGCGAGGATTAAATTCTCCATCTCCCTCTATCTCCCAAACCCAAACCCAATTCAAGCCCCAAAAAACATTAACGCATAAAGACACAACAAGGAGAACCTCACCTCCCATTCCTCAGCCCAGAAAAGGAATTAGACAGGGGTAAATACTGCAGCAGACACCTACCTAGAAGAGCACACAGATCCAAAATCATCACCAAAACTTATGTCACAAAGGAATTAATCAAGAAACACATAAACACCCGTCAATTCACTTTTCATGCCCCCATTTACCTTCACCCCTCATTCCTCACCTCGCTCACTTCACCTCACCTCCCTCACCTCACAAAAAAAACAAAAACTACCTACATACCCAAATACACTACTCTCCCAATGCACGCATACAACCCCCCACCCTTCCCCCAAAGCACAGCAAAAGAATTCAAGTCCCCACGCAAATCTCAAAAACACCACAAAAATGCCATATTCAAATTCATTCAAAATGCAGCAAGCACGCAATTCCAGAAAACGTTCCATTTGAAACCCTCCCCCATCCCCAATTCCCCAATGAAGAGAAAAAAAGGTAAATTAACTCGCTACAAAGACCTTACATACCCACCACAAGCATCAACCCATACCCCACACTAATAACCACCAGGAGGGTACAGAGACTAGCCGGTACACCACGACTGATAAAGTGTTTGACCTGGAGGTATCGCTGCCCGGTCTGCGAGTCCTCCATCATGATGGCCGCTACGGGTATAAGTTAGCTTGGTCCTTTTATATCACGCACGCAGAAGCTTGCAGAATGGGGTAAAGGGAGGAAGAAAGAGAAGGGGGATACATACTCATATTGGGGAATCCAGATGTAGGGAGACCCATAGCGGCACTACACATCAACGCACCGCCCATGACCAAAAGATTGGGATGTGGCTCTTCCATATTGGCCCCCACACTATGCACCAGCGGGAGAATAATTAGGGCCGCCACGGTATGACTGATGAAGGTGGCAACCACGAGAATCAAACTCGCAAAGACGACCAGGACTGCGTACAACGAGAAGCCCTCGACTTCTTTCGTGATAGCGCCTGCGATGGTGTGTAACAGACCTGAGGAGTTAACAGCCTTTCCCAGGGAGAGTCCACCAGCGGCAAGAATAATGATCGTCCATAGGAAATTATTGAAATCTTCCTTGGTCAGAATACCCGTGCCGAAGAAGAGGACAAGTGGGATGATGGCAATAATACCCATGTCACCGAATAACCACTCAAGTTGATGACTAACACACCACAGCATAATGGTGGCCAAAGTGACAAAGGAGATGAACCATTGCACACCAGAGAATTTATCCTTCACCGGACGGATTGGGACGATGGTTGTACCTTTACCAGGCTGGAAACTGACGAGCAAGATGATCCAGATCATGAGGATGGAAAGGATACCAACGGGAATAACGACGAAGAACCATATAAGCCATGATGGTTCAGGAGACATGATCTGAATTGCAACAATATTCTGAGGCGAGGCGATGGGTGAGAGCATACCACCAATGTTGGAGGCAAGTGCAATACCAAGAATTAGAGCTTTTGGCATTTGGGAATCTGCTGGAAGATTTCGTAACATTGGCTATTGATGTTTGTCAGTCCTGAAGAGACATACTAGGGAAAGGAGTCTCACCTGAATGATTGAGAAGCACAACACGGGCGCAGCAACGTTACTAATCCACATACTGGCGAAAGCTGCTACAAACATATTGGCCAGAAGAACGGTTCTCGGTCGCGTACCTGCTTTACTGAGAACAAATACTGCTATTCGTTTAGCAATGTCGTATTTTGACAATGCAGCAGCCACCGTGAAACCACCAAGCAAGAGCATAATCACGGGCGTCCACATGGCTTTAAAGATATACTTGGTGGCCTCGTCCGGATCAAGACGGTGGTGCGGTTTCTCATCAGAGCGTACAACTCTTAAGACGACACATAGAAAAGGGATGAGAAGAGATGTCACGAAAAGGGGAATGACCTAAGCACGTCAGTATATATATTGTGGACTGACTTGAAGAAAATTACCTCTGTAGCCCATAAAAGACTAACAAAAATTAACATTGCTAAGCAATTTTGCTGTTCCTCCTTTTTCATGATGGGAATATATAGCAAGATGATAAATATTGCAACGATGGCTATTAATGTGAGCATCGTCGAACTCAGCAACCAGCTTGGTAATCTGATTCTCCCCACCGGCGTTTGCAGCTCCTTGATCTCGGTAGAATCCTCATCTCCCTGAAGTCTGGCTTGGGTAGGATCATTATTTTGACCTAAAAGAGTTCTCCTTAGTCCCAGATTAGCAGCTTGAGCTTTTCGTTCAATTCCAATCATCTCTCGCCAGACGGTGTTTCGTTCCCATACAACGTGCTCTCGTAAATGTAATCTCAATTCCTTCTTAGCCGCAGTTACGTCTCCTTGGGTAACAACCGCTGCATATGCCTGTTCCATCTTGGTAATATTTTCTTCCACATGTTTTATGGTTTGTGGGAGGAATGGGTAGGCTGTTGCTACGACCTTTTCGGTATATGTAGATTTCAGGTGTCGATTGAGAATTTTATCGTACTTCTTCAACACCTTGGTAAATCCCGTCTTATTCAGTTGGATAAATGATTTCAGTTCGCAAAGTTGTACATAGAGACTAATTGCCCGCTTTTTCAGCGTGATGCCGGATGAATATAAAGTGGAAAAGGCTTGCTCGGCGTAATCGTCGTAGTTTTGGCTATTCCGCCTGCCCGACTTGCTCATGTCAATCGAACCCAGCATATCCTCCCGACTTGGATTTGCCTCGTAGGGAGCGCTCTTAGTTCGATTTAAACTCGATCTTGACTTTTGCAACGCGGTATTTTCATCATCATCGTCGTCCTCATCACTGTCTTCCATGCCCCCCTCATCTATCGATCTGCTAATTGTGCTGCTCCTTCGAGCTTGTTGAAAACTTCGAAAGATGCTGCTTTGCCGAGGCCCTGCGGAAGACCTACTAGCCCCGTTTCCCCTCGAATGTCCTGCGCCATCCTGATCTTGGACCTCGGTTTCAAATGAGGCTTCATCCTTGAGTAAATCCGATACCTCGCCATAAATCTCTAGCTCCTTGAGTTGGTAGAATGTGGAAATCTTCTCGAGCTCGGCATCTAGGGCTCGTTGGAACACAGAGTCTGGGTTGTCGGCTTGGATGAGGGGAGAACCTTCGGCATCGTCTTCTCCGGTAGAGGGGCGGTGGATGGTTCTTTCTAGCTGATAAATACTGCAGATTGTCAGTCTATAGCTCTCGCATGCTGGGCAGCACAGAATGAGGCTATTCAAGGGTAGCACTGGCACTGGCACCGGCACTGGCACTGGCACTGGCACCGGCACCTTGCGGAGCACAAAACACGAGGTACCTACAGTTTCTTCAGGTTGCTGTAAGCAATGTACTTGCTGCTCCAGTCGGGCACGGCATTAAACTGAATGCTGTGTGAGAACTTCATCTCGTCCTCGTGATCCAGCCGTCGCCTCTTGTCTGCCCGCTTGACTTCCTGTTGGTGTAGCTTTGCGGTAGCCTCTGCTCGCTGCTGGATATCGGAGTACTCGACGAGTTCGTAGGTTTCGCTGAATTGCGTGGGGTCGGTGTGAGTGGTTTCTCTTCCAGATCCCGAGTTCCTCCCTCCTCCTGGCACCTTGTCTATAACACGATTGTCTGTGGGATGTCGTGCATTCAAGCTGGCCTGATATTGAGAGGAGGGCTGAGGAGAAGTATTTGAGAAGTCTATGGTGAAGATGGGACTACAGCAAACGCGGTAGACAATATCATGGCTGGCGGTCGCATCGATTAGGCTAACGGGGGGTGGGTGGTGGACTTGGTGGGTCAGTCGGCGCTGGCAATGGCCATTTTCTGCCAGTTGGAGCTCTGCCCATGGCACCTCTTCTCCCTGAAAATATCCAATGCAGGGGTTCACAGTGGACACACCTTTGGGAAGCGTTCTTGATTGGTAGAAGGTCGGTATCACAAATACACCGCCCTGGTACTTTCGAGAACGCAGAACCTATAAATCCACCCCACCACAGCAAACCCCACCAACCATCACAAGCTCAACTCGACTCGAGAGTATTGCGAATCATCCCCTCATATCCAAGACAACATCAACACCCATCAAACGGTCCCGATGCCATTTTCCATACCCAACGGCACTCATATAATGTTTCGGCTGAGGTCATTGCCGTGTATCAAGCTATGCCAAGGGAAATAGTTCTACAGAATTACAAACGGAAAGCATGCCCATTCACAAATCTCGATCAGAAGACATGTAATATATACCACTTCAAGTTGTGGGTGTTACCAATCTGCATAGTTGCGGGGTAGGTATGGATATCGAGATCACATCCACTTCACCATTCAGATCTTGATCCTACCTTTACGCCGCTTTGGAGGTGTTTGTGTATGGATACTTGATATTGTAACCAGGTTGCTTGCATAGTTAAGTGTTTGCATTTCATCTAGCATGCTCATTTGGCCTGCCATTGTGTCATATTTCGGTTTCCCTGGTTACTCCTAGAAGAGGCTCACAACCGCAAGTATGATAAGTATCTCCACGTTGTTTCCACTCTACAGCCCCTTCGCAAAAGTACTTCGCAAAAGTACTTCGTAGCAAGATGTTTCGCGACCCTAGAAACTGTGGGAATAATTCATTCACATACAAAATACCTTGCAAAATACCCTGCAACACAGTAGTGAGATACCCTAGATTCTTGCTACTTTTGCGAAGGGGCTGTAGAAGTCACAACTATCGATTTCCTACTAGACTTGCCTTTGAGTACGCACCAGTGTACGCTCTCGAAATAACTTCTAACATCAGCAAACTTTACCAAGCACTTTTTCACTGGAAAAATCCCTTACTTGTCGAGAAGCACCTTAACCAAATGGGTCTAAGCCAAATGGCTCAGCTGCCTGGAGCATTCTATTTGACAACATCAAAATCCCAGCGCTGCCTCGAAAGAAGCGAGGCGATATCAGAACCTACCCGGAGATTCTCACTAGCTTGTGAGTTTTCACTTGAGTTCTCTAGGTACCTTCTGTTATCTAGCCTATTCCCTACCATAAGACCTTTCCTCCATAGAAGGTTTCTCGCAAGGACTCCGTATATCTAGAGTCTTCGTCTCAACCCAAAAGACCTTCAATCTTCCAATCTTCCAATCTTCCCTTCACAAGAACATCACACACTTAACTGCCTTAGTCATACCCCAACAACCCACTCCAAAATCCGAATCATGACTTTCCTCGTTTCCAAATCCAGAATCAAGTCCGGAAGTCTTCTCCGCAATTCCAAGGGGCAGGGTATCAAGCTGCCGAAAACACGAACCTGGTTCGGGAGATGCGAGGTTGTTCCGGCACTACTTTACCTGTACTGTAACCATACAGTAGATTGGTGGAGGTTGGAAGGTTTGCCGTGCTTTTTGTTTACGAAGTACCGAGTTGGAAGTGAAAGTACCTTGGAAATACGTGATCTCTGAGATTGTGTCAACTCCACTTTCTCGGCTCGGCTAGGTTGTGTTGTGTTGTTGTGCCTTGATTTTGGGCTTCGGGAATCGGATCGGGTATCTGCGTGTGTGGTGTAGAGTAGTGGGGGTGTTGATGTTGGATTCGAGGAGGGGGTTTGTATTCGCACTGAGTGATTTGTTGTAATTTTATTGCTACCTCTACTAGAGTATGTGTGAATTCTTTTTGGGTGAGGGGAAGACATGGTTTTTTTTTTTTTGGATTTTAATGGTCCTGCTTTTGGTTTTGGTATTGTTGGGTGCTCGTACTTTATTACTTGATATGGCATGTATGGTATGTGGCACAATTGCAAAGGGAGATACAAGAGGCTGTTTACTGTAGATCAGAAGTTACATCTGCTAGGCTAGAGCTGCCAAACCATCACCCAATTTGAGTCTACTACACATTGTTATTACTACCCACCATCAAACCACAACAAGGTATCTGAAGGTTATAAGTATCGATACCGAGGATAACTAGCTTCTAGGGAGTTGGCTGGAACTAATTCCTATCCTTACAATTCTTTTTTCCCTGGTTAGAGCAAATGCAGTACTGTAGACTGCATTGGATCTCACGTACTGAAATCGACAAATGACTTCGTACACAAGGAGTCCAGTCCCCCACACCCCACGAGTACTGTGCCTTACAGTAAAACCCGACATGTCCCCATCCATCATCCATCCCATCCCATGGGAACCCATTGACCCTCCACCCAATATCGACGTTACAACTGTAACCTCACTAACCCAGCTCAGAAAAATCCACGTCTCCGTTTCGCTGCCTCGCCATTGAAACTCTGCAGTGGAGTGCATTCCCATGCCTTAAGGAAAATCCGCACCGAATCGGTCGGTTCCTTCTTTGGACAGAAGTGGTTCTCCCCTTGAGATCCCCATACAAGAACCTTTCTCATATTTCCTTGTGGATCCCTTCCTGAATGAAGGAGAAGTACCAGGACGTTTTGAGATGGGTGATGGGTGGATCAGGAGATGGTGGGTTGTTGTAGGTCTAGTTCGTGATATTACTGATGGTTTGGGGTCTTTGGCGTAGAAGTATTTGTATGAGGACCTCGCTACCGTACTCATGTTTTTGGGGTCATAACCTTATTATTTTTATTTTTTTTGGTTCGGTTGAAGAGAATAGCTATTAGACTATAGGGCTGTAAAAATGGTCGTCTCTGAGGAAGCGAATTTACAGCCATGGACGACGGAGACTGTGATTGCGGTTACTATTTTAGCCATTGTCAGTGTAGGTCTTCGGTTGCTTTCGAGATATGCGAAGAGACAGCCTTTATGGTGGGATGATTGGATGATCTTATGGTCAATGGTATATTCCCCCTAGTATTTGACTCCATTACAAAAACAATCTAACTAACGACAAATGTCAGGCTTGGAATCTCCTCGTCGTAGGCTTCATATTCGGCATGCTATCCTGCGGAATGGGACTCCACGCCGACATCGTCCCCCTCCCCAAAATCGTCCTCATGGCCAAGCTCCTTGTCGTCGCCGAAATCCTCTACGCCTTCAATCTCGTCTGGACAAAACTAAGTCTTTTGATGATGTACTACCGGATCTTTCGCTTCCCGTACTTCAAGAAATGGGCTTACATCATTGGTTCGTTCATCATTGCATGGGTTATCTGCGTCACCTTTTTGTTTATCTTCATCTGTGTTCCGGTACAGAAACTCTGGTATCCGGATTTACCAGGGCGATGTATCAATCAGGTGGGGACTTGGATTGCCAATGCTCTCTCGACGATTGTTAGTGATCTGGCGACTTTGATACTACCTATTCCGCAGGTTTGGAAGTTACAGTTGAAGACGACCGAGAAGATTGCACTTACTTGTGCTTTTGGTCTTGGTAGTTTGTAAGTACCCCTTTCTCGTCAAACATGACATTAGATCTTCAGTGCTGGGATATGAACTTACCATAACATACACAGCGTCATCTTCGCCTCCGCCTACCGCTTTTCAGTCCTCTTCTCCTACAGCTCCGCCGACCCAACCTACACCCTCGCCCACACCGTCGGCTGGACCGCCATCGAAATGTCCGCCGGCATCGTCTCCGCCTGTCTCCCAACCATGGGTCCCGCATTCCAATTCATCGGGCGAAAATGTGGGATGGGATCTCGAACTCCCGCACAAGGATCGAGCAACATCTCTCACAGCGGTCTCGCTAGCAATGGTCGTGGAGTACAAGGCTCACCTTCCCGTGGAAGTAAAAGAAAGAGTCAAGGCCCTTTTCATTATCTCCCTAGTGAGGATGCGAAGTATATCGGTCATGGCTCTGAGACGGGGGATGAGGAGATGGATCTGAGACCTGAACATGGTCATTATGCGTCGGCGAAGGCGGGGAGGACGAATAGTTGTGGGAATGATGAGGTGCCGTTGAATAGTATTGCTGTACATAAGAAGTTTACGCAAGTTACAACATAATGGGGAAGAGAAGAGGAGTTTACAAGTATTGTACTTCAAAAAAGGGACGCCAGGTATTTGAACTTGGAGAGAAGGGGGTGTAGAGTCTATGTGCAAAGATTTGAATCACGCACTTCTATTTTACTAGATAAATAGAATTAGAAAATACTTCATCAAGATATACATAATTCGTACAACGTTCTTCCCATGTCATCCAGACGAAGACAAACCAAGCAATACAATATCCTTCCAGGGTCGGGACTCGGGACGGCCCGCAAATCTTGGTGAGACAACTCCATAATTTAGAGTTCTTCGACGGCCCTATTTAATAGGGCCTACTGTACTGAAAACGAAGCTGAAAACCCGGAAGACTCGCTTTTTATGTACTGTACATATCCCTTACGATCTATACGAAGAATGCGACCAGAAGTAATGACAATATAGGCTTCTGCGTTGTTGGTGTGCCCTAAGGGTTGTGAGAACACCACTGAAGATATCTTGCGCCTGTATTTACGGGGCATTTTAGGGCTGTTTTAAGCGAGCGATGCGCTGGCAGTTTTGGTGGGGCAAATGGAAGCTCTTTTTTGAAGGGTTCTATCGTCCCCAAGGTCTTTCGTAAGATTCTTTTTCTTTCTTCTTCATTTCTTTACCGTATTGTAGCTCCTAGGCGCAATTTACGAGCAATAATAGTTGAAGGGGAAGAAAATAGTAGTTGAAAATTCCAGTCCGTCGTCCGATTGGGCAGAGATACTCAACTCGGATCAGAATGAAGGACCAACTCAGAGGCCGGTAAGGAAGAAATACCTGATAGCAAGGAAGAAGAAGACAAAGGCTCAGCCTGATAATCGTACAGATCAGACGAGGAAAACAACAACGAAGCGAAACACGGTTTCACTATCTCTTCGATCACGCCATACAGTGCTACGATCTCATATTCTATCCAACCCGGGGAAACCACTTCTTCTCGCGCCTCTTCTCGTCCAACCGAACCCTCCAATCGCCCTAAACGCACCAAACCCCGCCATACGGTCGGGGCTCGTATCCAAGCGTTATATATGCTTGAGTATGGAGGAAAAGAAGCAATTCCTGAGATTGAGGCCGAGACGAAGGTAAGGAACGGTCTGTTTATTGGCTTAGAGAGCGGGCTATATCTCGCGGTTGGAAGCCAGGTGGGACAATTGAGCCATTTCATGTGGAAGATGTCCCTAAAAGCGGCAGATCAAGGAATTCTCGTGCGACGGTTGAGAATATACAGGGTACATTACAAGACTCCGCCACTTGACGATAATAGTGGAAATCTATCTATCTTTTCAACGTCTATTTATACTTGGTCACCATTTCCAAAAGAGCAGCATTAGCCTCGGTGGGATTCGTAGCATTAAGGTAATGCGCTCCACCTACGACCATGGTGACTTTCGCATCTTGAGACGAAGTGAACAATTTGATTTGTTCATGTTGAACAGTCGTCCCATACGGAACATCTGCCGTGCCCTAAATAAATCAATCAATCCCCGACTCCTATCACTAGAGATCGACACAAAGAATAAAAAAACTTACCTGCAGCCAATGAACCGGACACTTCACATCCCCCAGTCTCAACAAAAGACTATCCCTCGAAAGCAGACAAATAACCGCCATCCTAGCCTTCCTCCGCCCCTCATCACCTCTATAAACCTCCTTCATAGTCTTCATCCAAAACGCACCCATCTCTGGCGTTGCACTGGCTCCAAATCCAATCCCACCCACCATCCTACACCACACATCGTCAACGACGAAATCAGGTGTTTCCGTAGCACTCGTCCATTTCTCAATGAAAGGTGTCAGACCCGGTGCAGGATCCCAACATCCTTTGCTTCGAGAATCGGAAGATTCATAGTCCATCGACGTCCCAAGAGGCATCACCCCAAGAATCTAGAACGTCTCATATCAGTACATCATATTTCAGATCCGACTCACCCCACCATAAAAGAACATACCCTCTCCGGCGCCAAAACAGCAACCCTCATAACAATCCATCCTCCCTGACTAGTCCCCAACGCAAACGCCTTCTCAATCCCCAACCCATCTAACACCTGCAACGCCATAATCGCCGAATCCCAATACGTGAAATGCTCCGTCTTACAACTCGTCGCGCCATGACCTAGCGGTTCGATCGCTAGTAAATTCATCGCGTCCCTCAATGTAGAATCCTCGAATTGGGTCTTGTAGAGCGAAGAGGTGGTGCACATGGAGTTTATGAGGAGACATGTTGGTTTGGAGGGGTCGTAATGGTTGTTTGAGAGTGTGTAGCCGGCGGTGATGCCGCCTAAGTGCGGGACGTGGAGAGTTTGTTGGGCTGCCATGTTTTTTGGGGGGTG